GTTTCTTTTTTTAAAGATGCACCTACTATATTTAAGATGCTTATTGTAAAACCCTGAAAGACTGGATGCATTGTGCAACTTTTACCATTGATTGACTATAAATCTAACACCACCACACATTTTTTATTCGTACAAGGAATGTGGGTGTCACTGGCTAGTCCAGCATTAACTGTCCATCCTTCATTGTCCCTCGAATTGAATAGCTTGCTGGGCCATTTCAGTGAGCAGCTATGATTCAACCATATTCCTATGGGCCGAGAGTCACATCTAGGCCAGACCAGTGAAGGACAGCAGCTTTCTCTCCCAAATTGGCATCAGTGAGCCAGATGGGTAGACAATAGTTACATGGGTGCCATTGGGATAAGTTTTAATTTCAACTTTTTTTTAAAATTCAGTTCATTAGAAATTGAATACAGGTTCCTCCATCTGCCATCTGCACTCTAAACTTATTTCTATTAAGACAGAAAATTACTCGCACGTGAGGCGTGGTACAAGATTAGGATGTTGCTAGTCTGACCGCATCCCTCAGGTATGTGCGAGCATGGAAGAGTGACTGGGAAATGGGAAGTATGTGTGGTAAGGGTCGGAGGGTAGAAATGGCAACTGATAGCATGGAGAACAGAGGTACTGGGGTAACAGTGCCAGCAATCTGAGGCATTGGTCCAGACTGCCTCAGGTCAAACCACTCTTGTGGTGAGGGCCTCAAATTGGTATATTGACTTTTTTTTTAAACCTGCAAATGCATGAGCATCACCCTGATTTGTTGCCTTTTCCCAATATGTTGAGCCTTGTACTCCTAGTGAATTGCTAACCTCAAGGCCTACTCATAGCACACAGCCACCTACATATCAAATATATTCTTTCAACTGGAACTTAGAAGAATGAGGGGACAAGAGCTGGTCAAATGACCAAACTAATTTTCGACCTCTATTTCCTTTTAATACTATTACTTTAAAAAGAATTTTAGTTTTAGATTTCAGAAGTTTCTTCAAATGTCTCGTCCTACCTAACAAACAATTACCCCACCTCCTCCAGAATCTGACTTATTTCCTTGCTGAATGATCCCATTTGTCAGGAGCTAATGGTGTGCAATGGGTCTTAATCCTCTTAGTTCAAAGTCATTAAATTCAAATTATCTGATCATTGAATTTTTTAAAGCCTTAAATGAGCAATCTCTTATTTTATTGATGTTACTTAATTTGAATAATTCAACAATTTTGACTTTTTAAGCAAGAAAGAAAGATAAGTATTCGAGCAAGGTACAAGGAGACCATTTGGCCATTGGATCTGCACTGATTTCCTAAAGGAGACCATATGAGATCGGAGTAGAATTAGACCATTCAAGCATATTGAGTCTGCTCCACCTTTTGATTGCGGCTGATCTGTTTCTCAACCCTATTCTTTTGCCTTCTCCCCATAACCCTTGATCCACTTACTAATCAAGAATCTATCTATCTCTGCCTTAAATACACTCAATGACATGGCCTCCACAGCCTTCTGTAACAATGAATTCCACAGATTCACCACCCTCTGAAATTCCTTTTCATCTCCGTTCTAAAGGGTTGTCCCTTCATTCTGAGGCTGTGCCTTCAGATCCTCCTCTGTACTACTAATGGAGATGTCTTCTCCATGTCCACTTTCTCTAAGCTTGTCAGTATTCTGTAATTTCAAACATAATCTCTATCATCCTTCTAAACCTCATCAAGTACAGACTTCAACTGCTCCTGATGTAACAAGCCCTTAATTCCCGGGATCACTCTTTTAAGTGTCCTCTGGAATCCCCACCAATGCTAGCACATCTTCCTTATATGTAGGACTAAAACTGCTCACAATATTCTAAATGCAGTCAGACCAGAGCCTTATACAGCTATAGCATTACATCTCTGTTGTCATATCCTACATCTCTCAAAATGAATGCCTTCCTAACTGCCAACTGAACCTGCATGTCAACCTTAAGAGAATCTTGAACAAGGGCTCCCAAGTCCCTTTGTTTTAGATTTCAGGTGCCTTTCCCTGTTCAGAAAATAATCTATGCCTCTATTCTTCCTACCAAAGAGCTAACCTCACACTTTCCCACATTGTATTCCATCTGCCAGTTCTTTCCCCACTGTCTTAGCCAATTCAAGTTCTTCTTCAGTCTCCCTGCTTTGTCAACCCTTCCTTCCACCTATCTCTGTGTCATTTGCAAACTTAGCAACAATGTCCTCAGTTCCTTCATCCAGATCGTAGAATCGTCCAATGCAGAACTCCATTTGTTACCAGCTTCCATCCTGAAAAAGACCCATTTATCCCCATTCTCTGCCTTCTGCCAGTCAACCTATCCTCTGTCCACGCCAGTACCTTGCATGGAATTCCCAAGGCTCGAATTATTCAGCAGACTCTGTGCAGCACATTGGCTCTCCTTTTGTCTAAATTGCTCTTTACCTCCTCAGAATTCTAACTGATTTCTTTGCTCCTTATTACTACTTCTCCGGACTCATTTTCCAGTGGTTCAATGTCCATTCTTGGCTATCTCTTACTTTTTAGACATCGAAAAATCAACTTGTCCTGTTCTAATGTTATTAACTAGCTTACTCTCATATTACTTCTCTTCGCTTTTTACATTATTAGTTGCCCTGTGCTGGTTTTCAAAGACTTCCCAATCCTCTGGCACCCCACTAATGTTCACCAAATTGTATGCTTTTTCTTTGGTTTTTATGATGTCCCTGTCTCCCTTTGTCAGGCAGGGTTGCCTCAACTTCCCCTTAGTATGTTTCTTGTTCCTAGGGATGAATTTCTGCTGTGCCTCCCAAATGACCCCAGAAACTCCTGCCAATGCTGCTCCACCGTCTTCCATGCTACGGCCCTCCCCTTCTAATCAACTCTGGCCAGATCCTCCCTCTTTGTAGTTACCTCTACTTAATTGTAATATCATTACGTCTGATTCCAGCATCTCCCCCTCAAACTGCAGGGTGAATTAGAGTCATGTTATGGTCACTGCCCCCTAGGGGTTCCTTCACTTTAAGCTCTCTAATCCGGTCTGCCTCATTACATATCACCAAATCCAGAACTGCCTGTTCCCTCGTAGACTCAACCGCAAACTGCTCCAAAAACATGGCCACTACAGCTCCCATGGACTGACCAGGGCCCACTCTCTGGTAATTCGAGGCGTGGACTTAATGAACAAGAACCCATGTGCCTGATTGTGGCCATTTCCCTGGACTAGACTGCAAGACTGCCCTGGCTTTTAATGCCAGAAAACCGCTGACTGATGGGCTGCTCTATGACCCCCACTGAGAACTACTCCCCATAAAGTTTGATACGTGACTTGCTGCACATGCAGTGTATTTGCTGCACAAGCTGCTGGCTCTTGGAGCAGTTTTGAGATTGACACGGCACACTATGATGCAGTAAGATTTGTACCCGCTAGACTGAGGATTGCTTAACAGCAAGACAAGCTGTCTTGTTGTTTAGCATGCTAATTGGCAAGACAAGGCAAGGCAGGAACAAGCAGGTAAGCATTAAGTGACCAAGCCGTAAGAGAGCAGGTGGGCATCCCTAAAATGCAGCATACTTCAGTCTACGAATTGGGTGCCTGTCACAGCGCGTCCCCACTGCGGCCTTTGAATGCAAGTTGCTGGTGGGTCCTGCAATGCGTGTGCTGAGATCATACTGCCAATGAATAGTAAAATTGCCAGGTTTGACAAGATAGGCCAGCAGATGCCAATGTCCATGAAGGAGAAGTGAGTGTGGCTGGTGCTCATGCATCTTGTCCTGAGCTGTAGTTTGGTCACAGGCAACACAGGGGTGTTAGGGAGCAAGTAATGAGCTGAATCCACCAAGTACATCTTCTTCTGGTTCCCTTGTTGAGCTTTCGCAACATCAAGCTTGTTTGGCAAGTATGGTAAAATGGGTTATGAATATTAATAAGGTGAATTGTGGCGTTAACAAGGTATTAATCTCTGTGTATTGGTATCTAGCTGGTGCCTAGCAAGAATGTTACCAAGCCATTTTGAAAAGCATATATGACAGAGCAAGAAGATCTCACTGTCGAGATGGGCCATGTCTAATTCAGCCACATATTTGCCAAAGCCCATGTCACTTAGACCCCTATAAGAATCAATCCATGCCATTTAGTGAAGTGAGCTTAACATATCTACCCAGAGTGAATATGCCTCATGGTAGAGGTCACATGTCTATGGCAGATGAGGAGAGATGCTTGTAGCTGATTGCATGTAATTCCAAACCGTTTGCACTAGTGACTCCTAGTCCAGTTCAACTTTGGATTTTTGTATCTAATCCATTGTATGCAACTGAAATGGCTACTATGTTAAAATGTGTTTAAAACTGTTGAGCTTATTAGTACCAGTGATAATGGGTTTTGAAATTAAGCCTCAGCTTCAAGCTTGAATGTAACACATTTAAGACGTTATTATTCCAAGATCTGCTTGAGGTTGGTAGCTAAAGCAGCCAGGCGTCATGTGTAAAACTAATCCGATTTTCTTTCGGTGAATAAATTATGTAAATAAGATACAGTTGAATTGCAATAATTCAGTGTTTGGAATGATTAGCTGTTGAACTGATACAATGCAGTCGTGGTCTTCTGTTATCCTCAACATGTAAACTGAATGATACTTGCAACCTCTACTGAATTAGAAATACAATTAAACTTTTGCCTCCAGTTTAAGCTTGCAGTATAAATATCATCTGAGCAACCTTTAAGTTGAAATAAAAGCTTATTATAATATAAATTGCTTCCTGAAAATGTTTATTATGTTCTGTAAGGAGGTAGTTAACTCTATCTAAGGACCATCTTCAATTAACTTGATGCCAGTTTGTGATGTTGTGGGCAATGTATTAGGGTCCAGCATCTTAGGCCTGAAATTAATGAAAACAATTGAAAAGAATTGGAATACTAGATAGAAAATATACCAAATGAATATTGACAAATACCCAAAATAGATTAAGGAGTTTTATCAGAAAGGTTGGAGAAAAATGAAAAAAAATTGAATTGGGCTCACCTGCATAAAGCTTTGATGAAGAGCAGTTGTCAACTATAACAGGAGATTTGCAGCATTTGTTATGACAGTTGATGTTGAATATGTACGTTTCTCCCAAGAAAAATGAAGGACATCACTACTGAATGAAGACCGAAGAGGTTCGAGGTAATGCAAAACTCTCAGCATCTCACGTTTCCAGTCAGCGAACTATAACCAGTGTATGAGACAAGATATAAACCTCTTTAAAGAATAAAACAATTAATTGAAATAAAAAAGCATCCAGAGCAAGCTTATAAAGAGCAGCTAATTGAAATGTTCAGCACTCCAAGGAGCAATAATGATTTGACTATATCAGACTCTAAGGGCAAAATTTTAACACCCTTGTCCCTGCCAGAACAGCAGGACCATCCTTGGGTGAGGAACCCTGTTTCCTGATTTATGCATCTAGCCATTACTCGTAAACAGAGCAATCCAATTGTCAGCCTGTCTCTAGGTTCCCCAACCAATTAATCTGGGCATGTGAGATGATGTGTCCATTCTATCAAAGAAAGGAAAGGTAAATCAAAAATCCTTCAATATTATTGCACCAAAAATATAAAGAAGGTCAACCTTCCCACAGCTTGTGCTTCAACTCTGAAACATCCACACAAGCGCCTGCTCGTTTAAAATACAGGGTTTTTTCATTTCTGTTGCATAATCTTTTCTTTCTTCCAAATATGCTGTAATCTTTATGTTTAATTTTTTTTGGCACAGCTGCTGGGTGTCAGCTTCATGACAATTTCAATTTTAAATTTATTTTCCTAATAATTTGCTTCTGGTTGTTAACTAGACATCACTAACCCCCTTCTTTTGGGCCTTAGCATGCATTTCTTAATTCTGATTACATACTCTACTTGTTGATCTCCCATTTTCTACCATTTGTTTCTGATTGTATACTTCCTTCTTGTAAATTTCAATTTTAGTCAAAGACTGGAACTTTAAGCAGTGTTTTTAAATACAGTATTTCTTCTTTTAGCTCTTTGAGCTTCTCTTGTTTCACTTCCATTTATTTCATTCATTATACAGACCGTTAGATTATCCCAAATGTACATAATCTACCAACTTCTCGTCACATCTTTTATGACCATTGTGCAAGTGAATCCCAGCTGCAATGTTATGCCTTGTATATGCCATCATTACATGACAGGTATCCATTCCTTTCAGAGGATCAATTTCCTTGATACATTACTTGTTAACTAAATCGTCCATGGTCAAACCATCGTACACCCTTTCCATTAATCTGCTCATTGTGCCAATTTACTCAATTTCTTACATTGTCTCACTAATTTGTAGTGTTCATGTACTTTAATTTTTCCTTCCAGCCTCTTATGCCGGACCTCATTAAAAGCCTTCTCGAATTCTTTCACATCCACTGGTTCTCCCAAATCTGTTAGTTACATCCTCAAACACTCCTGTAGATTGGTTAAGCATGATTTCCCTTTCATAAAGCCATACTGATTTTGTCTAATCCAGTTCATTTTTTCCAAGTGAACAGTCTTGTATAATAGACTCTAACATTTTCCCCGTTGCTGGTGTTAACTTCTATTATTCACTGTCCCTCCCTTTCTAAACAGTGAGGCTATGTTTCCCATCCTCTAAACTGTAGAACTGTCTCATAGTCTATTCCATTTTTGAAGATGACTACCTATATCATCCAAAATTTCCCACTACTTTTAGTCCTTCTCACCCTGTCCCTCAGCAAATGCCTTCTAAACCATTCCTCTCGAATTAATCAAATAGTTTCCTCATTTTCATTGTTGATAGCACCAGTAGGAGCTATGGAAGCTGTTTGTGTTGCACACAGAAAGAGGTCTATGATTGCTAAGGAACCCAACCAGTAGTTGAGTGAAGGTGAAATGAAGGCCATGGGATGGAGATATGGGGGTGGGAGGAGCTGTTGGAGGAAAGACAGACTGCATGGGTAGGGGAAGTGGTTCTCACAAGCCAACCCCTTCTTTCCTGATGCTGGGTTTTCCACTATGGCTCTAAGTGTCTTTTTAACAAGAGGTGTCCCTGCATTCCCTCCATGGATTGACCTCTTCTGGCGTCCTATGGGGTAACCTGTTTTCCCCATCTGGCACAGAATTCTAGAAGAAGTGAAATAAGATCCTTAAATAGGCATCAATTGATGACTTGAGAGCCTCAAATTGCTAAGCCCTCCCACCCTGGGTTTAGTGGGACAGAGGTAGAAAGGTGCTGAGGTCCTCATCAGGCACCTTTCTGCCCAGTTAAATGCACCACCTTCATTCTGACATTGGAGGGGGGCATTAAGTTTGGCCCAAGCTCCTTCCCTAAATATTTTCTTCACAGCTGTATTCCTTTGTTTTGACATTTGCCATTGTTTAAGTAGCTCATCAGTTGATTGATGTGGAGGAGCCAGAGTTGGACTGGGGCAGACAAGGTCAAAAACTACACAACACCAGCCTGTTGGACTAGAACCTGGTGTCATGTAGTTTTTGACATTAGCTGATTGGCAACCATGAAAGGATTATTGTTCCAGATGCTTTGTGATTGGCTTCAATTTGTTATTTTTAAAATCAGAAGTCATTGCTTAAACAAGGTATTGTTTACACCCCTTGAGCAGTGGACTGATAATCCATTGTCGTACAGAGTCATTGCTGCATTATCAGAAGACCCTATTGTTTGGAATCTACACTTAGCTGGATAGTAATCTCCCATGGTACTTTTGGCAGAAAAGCAGTGAGTTTTGATAATTTGTTACTTCAGCCAACAGTAAGCACAACCAGCCTTACGTTTCATGGTAATTGGAATTATGTAAATTTATAATGGCTACATATTTGCCATCATCACAATGTCTATTATCCTCAACAGTGCTGGTTCTGCAGTTTGGAAATCCTGTGATTAAAAACACAGGAAACTCTGGTTGGAAAATCATATCCCTTCATGCCGTGGTCTGCACAAACCCAGTGGTATCTGGATTAATCCAAAGACGGACCATCAAAGCCTCAACAGGTAAAGAAAATAAACAGCATATTTTATCCTTAGTCACTCAATATGCAAACAAGATTTCACACCATTGTACCTTTCTATCATGATCATACATTTTGAAATTTGCGTTATGCAAACAATGACATCTGATGCCTTCACCTGCATAAATACTGGGGCAGGATAAAATGTCAGCACTTATGATATCATCAGTATTTGTCCTGTTTTTGTAGTCAACGCACAAAAATCCTTTTAAATTTTTACATATTGTTTTTTAAATGTAAAGATTCAGGCTGTATCACATAACTGACAAGTGAATGTTAACTAAGATACTTCTGATAAGTTTAAGGATTTATATTGTTTATTCAATGATCACGCCTTCACTATGCTGGTCCCACATCATACAACTACAGTTTTAACAAGAACTCTTGAAGTGAATGTAGGAAACGTTAAACAGACAACCCTTCATCTAAACAACTGGATCGAATGGGCTGATGAAATGTGAGAGACAATGCAAGAAATGGGATCAAACTCTTTTTTTGTTAGGGTTGTATAACTATTTATTTCCCCTCCTTCATCTTCCCACGAACATAGAAACTGCTCGAAATATCAAAAGAATTTAGGCTGACCTATCTAGGACAGTATACTCAAAACAGAGCTCTTCATCTCAACCCATAGGTTCTTGTTAGGTTTTGGGGTGAAGCTGAAAAATGACGTACGCTCTCCGTTCCAATTAATAACCTGGAAATTCATTTCTGATTGACAAAACCCATCAGTCATGCTATGTCAGACTCTAACAATGATGTATGAATCAAAGGACTGACAAATATTGAGAAAACCACTGGGATTCATAATGCATTAAGATCTTTCAAACCTCAAAACAGTTCAAAACTGTTACAGGATTGTGACTTTTGGTACAAAAATTAGGAGTGGCAGGTGTTATACAATGTGTAAGTTCTGAAAGGGTTTATAGTGAGGAGTACCTTAAACACCACTCACTATAAAGCGGTCATGTGGACTTATGTGGACATAATCAAAGACTCTTTCCAATCCAGTTATATTCTCTTCCATCAGGCAGAAGATACAAAAGTTTGTAAACACGCATGAATAGATTCAAAAATAGCTTCCTCTCTGCTCTGAATGGACCTCTCAAACTTTAAAATTAATGTTGATCTCAGTCTCGTTGTGCAACTTTTCTGCAGCTGTAACATTGTATTCTTTGCTTCTTTTTTGCCCTGATGCACTTTGCACGGTATGATCTGCCTATACTGCATGCAAAACAAAAATTTTCACTATACCTAGATGCGTGTGACAATAATAAATCAAATCAAATTATAACCAGAGTGGTTTAGGACCTCAAAAGAATAAGAATTGACATCAAGGTTTCTCTCGCAGTGTTCTATAACAATTCCTGTCATATAAATGTCACCTGTAACATTTTGCTAACAAGCAATAAACAATTTCTTCTACGAAATAGCTCTTTCTATTTAGACCAGCAAGTGGTTTACCTCTAAGAGGGCCTTGCAGATCCTGATATGTAACAAAGATGGTGGCAGCAAGTATATCCATGATGAGGTGCAGACTTGGTTTGACAACACATACAACAGCCAGAGACAGGCCTGCTGGATCTGCAGACTTATCCACAGAAGCAAAATTTGACCTTGTGCATCCTGTAAGTTCAGTCCCTTTTGCCACCAGGCTTGTTCAGTTGAACCTAATAACCAGAGGTGAAGTCAGAAAATTGAAAGAAATTAAAATAGTGAGCACATACTAAGAGCCATGAGGCATGCCATGCCAACTTTGAATGTCAAAATAAAGCAAGTACTGTCATCTACTGCAGTATGCTCAAGAGTGGTTGAGATCATCTTACTCTGTATTGAACAATGTGGGTGAAAATTCCAGGAATATGAGAGAGATTTTTCAATGTTTGGTTCTGTAATAATAACTGTCAGCTCTGAATGTTCTGAAAGAAATTATTCATCCACATCAAATCGAAAACAGGTAACATGAAATATTTCTGTCACAGTCCAATTACATAAGTTTCTTCAGGTTGTGATTGATGTGTTTGTTTTTGGGCATAATCTGGATTTAGTGTAACAACTTGATCACAACTGCTGGTTGAAGAAGGGGGAGGAGTTTAAATAGTAATTGACTGTTTTATTGCTGTATCTAACAATTTAGATAATAATCAACATAGAATGCTCAGCAACTAAAATGGAACAGGCTTTGTGATTCTGAAAATGGTTGTATTAATATTAATCTGATCCAAGTAACAGACAGTACTAAATCTAATCACTTAAGTAAGCCCATTTCTAACAATTCATGGTGGTAACACATTACTTGTTCTGCATGTAGGTAAATATTTTTATCAACGTGCTGGCATGTGAGAAGTACTTAATGGCAGCATATCACGTTATTCACCTCATATCTTTATTCTTAAGCTTTTCTAAATGTTTGGCCGATCCAGTTTATTAAAAATATTATAGATCAGCTTTCAATCATTTTTGTGAAGTTTTATTCTGTGCTCCTGAAGATTCTAAATGGGGAGATCAAGTTTTGGCAGCTCTTTTAAACTAATTAAGTTAAGTCACAATGGCTATGATTACAATTATCCCTCCTTCTCTGCTGTCTTGTAATCAGCTATCCCGATTCCTAAAATAGAATCAATAGAAGGAGGACAGTTGGTTCATTGAGGTCATGTCAGGTCTCTGCAATTAATTATCTAAGTCCCTTTGTAGATCCTTTAAACCTCCTCACAACTTTCTGCCTAGCTCCATGCCATTCGGAAATTTAGATACATTATATTCAATCCCTTCATCTAACTCACTTAATATGTTGTAAATAACCTGACCCCACCACTCATTGCCCATTAGCAATAGCCCACTGGCATGAACATGACCCATTTTCTGTACTCTGTTTTCTATCTTAACTAATTCTTTATCCATTATTAACAATTCCTCCCCACTTACCTTTTGCATGGCACCATACTAAAAGTCCAAACATCTGATATCCACTGGTTCTTCTTAATCCACTTTTGTTCATTACATCTACAAACAAACAGTCATAAACCTGTCAAGGATGATTTCAATTATAGAAATCCATGCTTACTCTGCCTAATCATATTGCTGTCTTCTGAGTACCCAACCAGCATCTGAAAGATTCCAACAGTTTATTTTAAATGTTGTAACTGTGTATCTGCATCCATCACTTCCTCTGGAAGTTCATTCCACCCACGAACCATTATCCGTGTTTTAAAAAAAAAAGTAGCCCTTCAGGTCCTTTGTAAATCTTTCTCCTCTCACCTTGAAAATATGCTCCCTAGTTTTGAACTCCCCCACTCTAGGGAATAGACCCTTGTCATTCACCTTATCCATGCCCCTCATAATTTTATAAACTCCAATAAGGTCACCCTTCAACCTTTTACACTCCAGTGAAAAAAGTCCCAGTCTATTTTAATATCTTAAACTCTCCATTCCTGGCAACATCCTTGTAAATTTTTTCTGAACCCTTCCAAATTAATAATATCTTTTGTACAACAGGGTGGTCTTATTTGCACACAGTAGTTCAAAAGGGGACTCCCCAAAGGCCCATACAACCTCAACATGATGTCCCAACTCCTATACTTAAAGATCTGAGCAATGAAGGCAGGCTTTGAACTTATAAATGTATATTAAAGATAGGATTTCACATTGAGTGGAAATATATCACATTATGATCATTCTTTTTGAAGAGATCCCTCCATATGATATTACTAATTGGCTCTATCACATTGTAAATACAAGATCTAAAATAGCCTGATCCCTGGTTAATTCCATCATTACTTTTCTCAAAGACTGTCTCAAATGCATTCTATGAACTCCAAACTAATATTACCATCTGATTTGTTGAGTGTAAAGATCAATGACTGCATTGTTTATGTTGCAGCCTATTCTTATTTAAAATGCTTTCCAATCTGTACCACAAGGATCAGTGCTGGGACTACTGCTTTTGGCCATTTACATGAATGATTTGGATGTGAATATAGGAGGTAAAGTTAGTAAGATTGCAGATGGCACCAAAATTGGTGCTGTGGTATACAGTGAAGAAGATTATCTCCGAGTACAACAGGACTTTGATCAGATGGGCCAATGGGCCGAGGAGTGGCAGATGGAGTTTAATTTAGATAAATGTGAGATGTTGCATTTTGGTGAGGCAAACCAGGGTGGGACTTATACAGTTAATGGTAGGGCTCTGGGGAGTGTTGCCGAACAAAGAGACCTAGGAGTGCAGGTGCATAGTGCCTTCAAAGTGGAGTCGCAGGTAGATAGGCTGTGAAGAAGGCATTTGGCATGCTTGTCTTCATTGGTTATAACATTGAGTATAGGAGTTGAGATGTCATGGTTGCATGTAAAGGACTTTGGTTAGGCCACTTTTGGGATACTGTGTACAATTCTGGTCACCCTTCTATAACAAGGATGTTAAATTTGAGAGGGTGCAGAAAAGATTTACAAGGATGTTGCCAGGAGGATTTGAGCTATAGGGAGAGGCTAAATAAGCTGGGGCTTTTTTCCCGGAGCATCAGACGCTGATGGTTGACCTTACAGAGGTTTATAAAATCATGAAGGGCAATGGATAGAATGAATAGCCAAGGTCTTTTTCCTATGGTGGGGGAGTGAGGGCCTGAGGGGTAACTTTTTTATGCAGATGGTGGTGCATGTATGGAACAAGCTGCCAGAGGAAGTAGTGGAGGTAGGTACAATTGCAACATTTAAAAGGCACCTGGATGGATATGTGAATAGGAATGGTTTAGAGGGATATAGGCCAAATGCTGGCAAGTGGGAATAGGTCAGACTGGGATGTCTGATCGGTATGGGTGAGATGGACTGAAGGGTCTGTTTCTGTACTGTATGGCTTTATGACTCTAGTGTTAGGGAGCATTTAAGCTATAATCTATTCCTACCATTAACATGAAGGTCCCACATTCTCAAACTCGCCCTTGACTTGAGGTTAAACTCCCTACCAGTCACCCCTGTGTAATGTGAGAGCATCCTAGAGTGCTCTGGGACTATAGCAACTTTAGTTTTACTTTATTTCAAGTAGGGTATACAGTTGATTTGTTGTCTCTTTGCTGGTGTTTCCTCTCAAACTCTGTTGGCTCTTGCAGACTGAAATGCCTCCAGTGTTAATTGCATTGGAAAACATTTATGCCAAGCCAGTTTAGTCATGGCTTTCCAAAACAGCCATGTTTTGGTTTCGCTAGAAGAGTCTCTTATGGTAGAAACTATTTACACATTACAATTTTGGTATACGTTATTTCAGAGATTCTTAAGAGGAATTGGTCTGAGGACTGATTCCTTCAAGATCCTTGACTTCTCTCCCCACCAGCTCTCAAACATCACAGAGAGTGGTGCTTATGTCAGTCAATTAGAAAGAACCATTTAGGAATATCTCAGACCTAGACACAACAGTCACACCCTCCTATCCAGATCCAAACTACAATCTAAGCCAGTATGACATTTTCCTGGATCTCCGTGTCCAAGTAATTCTCCATCTCTCTGATGCTTCATATTGTGTGCACCTCAAATCTAGCTCAACAATTATAGGCTGAATTTACTCCAGATGCAGGTACTTACTTTAATGTGGCTAAGTGGTCTTCCATCAAGCCCCTCATTCTGCAGTTCTGACACAACACCTATCCTACCATTCTTAGGTAACCTTGCATTATTTATTTCGTAAATTAGTTCATTTAGCTACCAACATAGCTCATAGATTTTAGCTAATGCCTTGATCTGTTTTGGGTTATAGGTAGATTTAATTAAATGTTTACCTGAAATGCAACCCCTACAAGTATTGGAGGCAAAATCAGGGTCTCCTTCTCTGTCTGTGATGAATTCCTACTTTCACCAAACCACCGTTTTATGATCAGTTTCTTTTCTGGAATTGCTTTTCTTCCAGTGATAACCTTTTACCCAACAATTGCCTTCCTAATTTACTTAACCATTTTTTTAACAATCCATTTGCTGCTCTCTGCGTCTGTTGACTTCACCTCACGTTGCCATCAAATTCAACTCAAAGAGGCCTGCTCGGTTCAACATTTACCCACGTTGTAATTATTACAGTTAAATTAATTAGGGTCACGGTTGGGGGAAGTGTGAGTCAGTGAAAACAATGGGGAGACTGAAGCCAAGAATTTCCTTGGAGCTGCTTCAACTGACTCCTGTAAATTCGCTTTATAAGTGTATCAGAACTTGAGATCACATAGTTTAAAAAAAAAGGATTCCCACTGTGTTCCTGGTGAAAGTGTAATGACAGAATGAAAATACAAAACTAAGGATATTACCAAGGTACATATGTGACTACTTCTGTTGGATTTCTCATTTTCAGTGAGAAAATATGATATTCGGTCTTCTTTTATTTTTGTTCAAGTTGTTTCAATGTAGAAAAATGCCTCCCATAAGACTCAAAACAAATGAAAGTAAACGATTCATGCAAGAAATCTTTTTTGTCCAGCTGTGGATACTGATTGAATATCTTGAGGAAGGCATTTACAATTTATCGACTTGTGTTTAAAGCAGTACCATTGGATTCTGCAGAGTAAAGGGATATTTGCGAAAAAAATGTTATCCAGAGAAATTGTACCTAAGCTACAAATGTAGTTTTGATTTTAAAAAGAAAAGGAATGAACTGTAGAGAAATGCAAAATCATTAATCTGTGATTTGCAATATCTCTGGCATATTTTTGGATTCCTCTTTATGAAATATTTTCAACTTAATTGGAAGCTTTTGTATAACTAGTGGGAAATTGAATAAAATTTCTATTCTCAAGGATATTGCAGATGTTTTCTAATACACGTGGTCTCCACCCAGACTAATCAAAGCCACCACATGGAGCCAAGGCCAAGTGTGTAACCAATGTGCCAAAATCATTATCTAAAAGAGCAGTAAAGTGTTTTATCTCCAGGGAGGAGGGTGAGTCAGCTTGGCACAATCTTGCATAGCTTAGTTGGTGGTTTCGTGTTGTACACACACTTATCAAAGTGATGGATGTCGATACTGGGGAATGGAATACTTTTCTTGTTTACAGGCATCCAGTGCCAGAAATGAGCACTCTTGGGTCATGTGCAGGACAGCCAGATGCAGACTTAAAAAATCCAATTTACTTTTTCCCAACTTCAGAACACTAGATAGTTCGTCAGCATGATTTTTCATTTCGTGCATTTCCTATATCCTCCATCTGTATGACCTCCTTGACGACAGAAAATGTTTCTTTCTCACAGTGCTTTTGAAGTCTTGTGAGGGTGAGGAAGTGTTAGTCTGGGGCAAGGATGATAGATATGTGTTCAAGCCCTTCCATTCTGCTGGTGGTAATGCAAACCCTTAATTACTGACTGAAGCTTGTATGTGGGTTTGTGTAATCAGTCTTCATTATTCACACACACGCTGCCTCAGGGTCTCTAAGGGAAAACAGAACGTTGATCCCTATTTTAGGGGCATCCCTTAAAAACATCTGGGAAAACTAAGCTCTTGTGCAACGACATATTTTGCAAAATATAATCATTTGTGATTTTTACATGCTTTGATATGTACTTGCTTTTCACAGTGGCTGATGATGATTGAAACAGACAAGAGACATTGTCCCACCTCCTGATAACTCGTGGTAGTTTATATTTTGAAAAGTTATTGGAGTGTAGAAATGCCACAGGAAAGATACCAGAATTGCATTTAGTCCCAGAAGACAACCAGGCGTTTTGAAAATATTAAAATGATAAACATGCAAAGACTGAAAATCTGAACCAAAAATAGAAAAAAGATGCAAGAAGACAGCAGGTTCATCAACATCTGCTGGAAGAAAAGACAATTTAATATTATGCAAATACAACTGAAAACATAGGATTGCTGCAAGTCATGTCTGGTTTGCTGATTTGACTTCCCTTCAAGTGGAACACTGCACATGGCATGCTAAGTTACCATAGAGTATTCCCTACTGCAGTGTCATCTTTTGAATGTTGCTTGATATGAGAAGCCTTAGAGTTTAAACACTCTTCAGATGGATTTCCTAAAGATGGTGGTTCTCAATCCGGATCATCGCACAGTTGGCTGCATTCACTTACATGATTGCTCCTGCTTAAGGTCATGTATAATTACTCATGAAAGTGCTCTACCTGGATTCATGCCGCTGGGAGAAACCTTGCTACTAGTGGTAAGATCTTTAGCACTGCTGCAACTACTTAAAGGGTTGTAGTAATCCCTAAAAGGCCAGCTTTCTTTTAGAAACCCTACATTCCCTTCATTCTTATTTATTTTCCTCACCCCTCCCCTTCATTGGCATCCATTTCTCCTCTTGGACTAAAGAAGAGTTGTAATAAAATGGGAGAGAGAATGAATGGGAAATGAACAGCACCGAACAATAACACATAATTGTGTGCTTGGTCTCAGGCTATTGACAAAACTGACAAGGAACACTTTTTATGCAGGCCAAAGTGCCCGAGGAGATGATAGTGCGTCTTCAGTTTGAAACCTGACTGGTGTTATGGGTGTAGTGTTCTCACAATGGTGTTAAGTAGGGAGTTCCAGGAGATGTGCCAATGTGGCATCGAGGAAGAATTGACAGTGTTACATTTCCTCGTCAGGATGGTGAAAAACTTGGATTGTAAATTGGAGATAATAGTGATAATGCTCCTTTCATTCATCATGGTGGAGGAGGTATCAGAAGACAGAGGTGCTACTGAAATAAATTTGAGTTGTTTCAAACTGTTACATACTTTTGTTTTCATCAATCTCATATCAAATGAAGAAGTGAACATCCGTCCAAGGTATCATAGGATCAGGAGGTGTGAACTTTCGCTCTGTCAGAGTATTACCACTTTTGATTTGGTAAGTGATGTGTTTAAGCCTCAGTCCAGTTGTCCCAGCAAGTTGATTTGACAGTCTATGCCATGGAGCACTGGGTTGGCATCCAAAGGGATCTAGTGGCTAATAGCCATTGAAATAGCCTCCTTCCACTGTCATCACAGCAAAAGTCAGAGCTCTCTCCTCTAACCACCAAGCTGATATCAAATGGGATACACATGTCTGATGGAATATTATGAATACAATTCCCCAACTTCCAATATAACTGCTTGTTATAGTAAGTGGTAAGGGCTTTTATTAAAGCACACAATTTGAAGGATAACTGTTGGATGCAATGAGTGGAGAGATGAGTCTTCCTGTGGCTTGAGAGAGAGAAGCAAAGATGGAGGAGAAAAACAACTTAAGTCATCTGAGTATCTTATTTCTTGTGGGTAATTAACTGTACTTGTATGGAGTATATCAATAACATGGAGCTAAATTTTATCAAATATCAGCAAAATGTCAATTTCAGGGAGTTTTGTGGAGTGTTCCTGTCCATAAGCTTTAGCCCGTCTTACGCAATTCTCTCTTCAACTTATTGTGCTTGCTCCATGCTTCTATGGTGCTCAATTCGTACTACTTTGCGCCAACTAGTGTCAGAAGCAATCACCGCTGCCGGGGCCATGATGGGATTTTATCACCAGCAGCATATTTAAGAGCCAACTGTGCACAAGATCAATCATTGTCAGCCATAATTAGTCCTTCACAGCGAACATAGAAGGAGGGAAATAAGAAAAAAGGCAAGCTTCGGAGGGAACTGATGTGGCACGGGTGGCACGGGTGACACTTGATTACAAGCTCAATGAATTGCTATTCCACATCATCACCTATCTCATCTGCTGCCATATCAACTGCAATTAAAAGAATCAAGTTATACAGGCTACTGGTCTCCAATGCCATATCATGTTAGAACCCTGCCTAGAGAAGTGTTATTCTTTGCCCAATGCTCAACATAGCATAACATCTTCTCATTGAACAATGTTCATTGTTCGTGTTTTGGAAAGCCTTCCAACAATTGAAAACATTGACTTTTATCGAACGTCTGAAAAAAATGAATGAAATAAAGGCTGCATTTCCATCTGGGAATAAACTGAGGATTTCTTTTGGTGCAATAACGAATTTACAATCAATTTACATAATTGAGCTCAGATCTGTTGGAACCAAGTGTCAATTAAGTCCTGTCTGGCTTGTTGTGCCCAATGTTCTCCACCCTGTTATGATGAAGGTGATGTCACTCCAGAGCTGCCATTCTCCCAAATCGTCAGTGTCTCGAAAATTCCCTTTTTGCCTGCTCTAGTTGCGCAGAGCACATTATGCAAGGAGTATATGACCCATTCTGAATTGTATTGCAGGAACCACCAGACTGAGTCAAACTTCAGGATCTCACCTTTAGGAACCCTATCATCTGCTCTATGATGACTATAGTGGAAGAATGGAATGCATTGTATCTACCTTTGGCCTCAGTTGAGGGTTGCATGATGGAGCTAACATTTGTACTTGAAGTGGATAGCCATTCTATCTGCGTAACCATCCTCATAAGGCATCTGGACCTTGAAATGAGCAGGAACCTCAGAGATTTCAAGAATATAGGCATCATTGCAAATTTCAATGATTCAGTACCAATGATCACAGGTGACTTGAACATTGATGGAATATAAACATTTTCTGTTGCACAAGTTGACCACATCATGATTTGACATGTGTGCAGTCTATAGTGCCCTGCATCTGGGGGAAGCCAAATCTGTTGGCCAACCTACCACCCAGGCTGCAACACTGACCTCGTCACAGGGAAATAAGATGAAAAGGTGTGATCAGTGTTGCATCAGTAATAGTCTTGAAACATTTGTGGGTCAAGGGTTGTGAGATCCCACAGAGGGCTCCAATGGATTCTTGGAAACAGCCTGTTGCATAAACATTTAGCACAGCTCTCACCTGATGGATACCAGGGTAGGATATCACCTATGTCTTCAGGTCATAGGTCCTTCTTCAGCAGATGGGACCGTTTTGTGACAATGTCCTGGGACATCCTTGTCTGTGACAGCAATGTGCCTTGCTCATCTGGAGGAACTGCTGTCCGAGACAATAGATGCTGGGACTCCTGTACATCCTCCACCTCCTGAGGAAATTTCACCTGAGATCTCTTCAAAAGGAGGTTGTATGGCAACCACTGGAGGTTGCTGCTGTTCTTGGGCTTGCAAACACACTTACTGCCCCACAATATCTCTGCAACTTTGTCGCAAATGATGCCAGTGAAGATAACCCTGCTCTGGCTAGATCCTCTGGTTATGATTTCAAGGAATCTATCTGGGAAGTATCAGAAATAGGACAGGTTCTTAGTCGTGTGAGGAGGCAGCAGTTACTAGACCATCATTTGTGTGTCATGCATAGTCCTAGATATGGTGGGACATGAGATCTCTGTCAAGGAGGATCATGGAATACCTGTATATGGACCTTTGACATAGCACCCTTTATTCTGACAAATGCAGCACAAGTCTCGTTGGAAAAAAAACAGTAGGAGATTGTAAATGCAGTAGGATGTCTGAAACTTTGTTGCCACACCCACTCCCTATTAACACCACAGAGGCAGTGTTATATATTACAGCGTATTGGCAAACACGTGCCATTTAAGGTGAGAGCAAATCAGCTCTGCGCTTTTGTGCAACCTATGAGAACTTTCATTGACCTTGTGAATTGCGGCCCTCGGGTCCCAGAAATAATTATGATCAATTTTTAATGACTAACAACATGGTGAATATTGCTTATGATTTCACAATAATCCCCTGACTGTCTGCATGCGAGCTGCAGGACTGACCATGGCTCACTGCCTGTACAGTGATGATATGGAACCTCTGACACTGGACAACGCAAGCAGCCAAATTTCCATGCCCAAACTATTGGAAAGAGTAAACATGTTGCTTTGGACTGACTGTGGCAGGACCACTTAACTGGTGACAGTCCCTCTTGACTTGATGGAGGACTATTCCCTTAGACCTTCCAATATAGTATGTGATTCAAGCACACTTAGTATATTTGCCATGTAAGGCTCTGCCACATGCTGTTAAGTGCGACATTGAGGTATGGTGCAGTACAGTAGCATATCCAACACCTTGAATGATCAGTGCTGACATTCACAACAAGCTGACTGGCTTTATCTGTACAATAAAGGGCAAGGCAAGACCAAGCTATAAGCTCTGAATGAAGCATAGTAGTTTGGGTTAGCAAAAAGGCAGAGCATGGCACAGTAGAGATCCTGTGAGCATCCAAGTTAGCATGAAGTGAAACAGTGCAAAGAAGGCAAGTGAAAAACCTTGAGTTATAGGTGTGCTCCAAATTGTAGCATTGAAGTGGATAACTCTATTGTAAGTGAGTCAAAGATGTACCGTGATAACATGGCGAGACAGGTGCATGCCTGATGTCAACCTACCTGAGTAGTAGCTACAGGCTACCCCTGGAGAATGCCCTGAGATGTTGGGAAATATTGGCCAAAATGGAGGCCTGAGAAGGAACCAGAAATCCGGAGTCCTTTCATTTTGAGAATAGTCATCATCTAGTTTTTTTTCTCCTGTATATGAATGAGGAGAGACTAGCTAATAATCAGAAGTTGATGCATGCAAATAGGCTCCTTGCAGATCACTAACAATCTTCTCAACTCACTATTCAAAACCTAGGTGGAAAATCAAACATTTTTACTCAACGTCAAGTATTGTTTTAAATATTACCTTTTTTTTTCAACTAACTTGCCAGTGTCTACGTCATTCAGTGCCTAGAAAATGTCAGTCCATGTTTTCAGATTGGAGGATTGTCACACAATCATTTCTTCAGCACCCCTGCAGATTGACCAAAGTACCATTAAGGAAAGTGAAGATTGATATTCACAGAAATATTAGCATTTAAGATCAATGTCACATATTTCCAGCGATGCAGCTGGTATTAATTTGTTTACATAAAAACAATGAAAATGAAACACTATCCTATTGTATTACTTACAGTAAATATAATAACTTTCCTCTCCTGTATTCCATCCACTTTACAACTTCATTGCTGGGTGATTAGCTGCAGGTTTCACAGCTCTCCCTACATTATAAGTTTGATTTAAGTAGCAGCTTTTAGTCAAAGTGACTACTCAACTCTCTTAGGGTCTAATCACATATGGAGTTCAAATGAATACCAATGTTATAGGATCATTGCCAAATTAACTTTCACTATCTCAACACGCTGGTTCTGACACCCAGTATGAAATTTAATATCAATCTGTAGGCCCCGCTGTACCCTGAATATTGCCCCTTGACAGCTGGGTTTTGCTCAATAGTCGTATTTTTAACATATAATACAACAAGGTTTCTCCATGGCAAGATTGTCTGAAATCCTGAAACATAACACCAATGGAGTGCACTCCTTGGAGGTTCTTCTGATCAGCTGGAACAAATTTGTTGGAACTGCATCCTCCCTTCATCCTTAATCTCTCCAAAATTATGATTTCCCATCAGTTTCATCATCCGGATGAATCTACACTGCACATTTTCTGACTTAAAAACCCTTTTTATAATGAGATAACGAGAAGGGCAATCAATGCTGTAGTGTAAGATTTATTTGAATTATTTTTTATCTGACTGGAATGTCAATCCTTTAACTATGTCTTATTTTTAACTTATTCTTTAAAAGCTGTAATGTAAGTAATGCAACTACTTTTCTTTTTATTCCTATTTTGTATCTATGATTTGTACTGAGATACTTGTACCTAAGATGGTGCCATAAGAGGTGACATTGTAAAACTTTTCACTATATTCTTGTACTGCAATACTTCAGTACAAGTTACAGTAAAGGATTTTCTATTCTACTTTATTTGCTATCTGTGACCTAGGCAACATTTTGAACAAATATGCCAACTGAATATTGCTCATGCACAGACTGTGCAAGATCAGGAACAAAAACAAAGTTGCTGGAAAAGCTCAGCAGGTCTGGCAGCATCTGTGGAGGAGAAAACAGAGTTAACGTTTCGGGTCCGGTGACCCTTCCTCAGAACTGTAAATATTGCTCATGCACAGACTGTGCAAGATCAGCCTAGTTAGAAAAATTCCACATTACGCACTATCAACCGGGATTATTTAGTAGCCCAAATGAAGAGCTTGCAAGTATCCACAACATGTTACGCGATGGCAGTGATATTCCAACTGGTAAAAAATTCCAACTGGTAAAAAATTCCAAACAATGAAATTTCTTGGCATTTTGTTTCAGAATAGTGATACAGATAGAAAGACAGGAGTAATCTACATCACTATAGAGTTCCAAATCATACTTGTGTTATTATGTGATAGAACTTGGCTAGTACCCAAGTAGAAACCTTAAAGAGGAACCATTCTGCTTGCAATGAAGGATCTTTAAGCCTTTGACTCAGAGAGGTAGTAACAAGATATTGAGTGAAGAGGAACTATCTGTCTTCTTTATTGTAGTTGGCATGTGACCTAAGGGGAATATTAGAAAGTATGTACCTTCAAATAGTAAAAGAATACATTACTGGACTCTTGCAGGGAGAACAGCTAAGTTAGTGAGGGAAAAAAAGAGAGCTGCAGGCTTCCGTGTCTCTGTCTTAACCTAGGGCGCAATATTCCTCCCATGAGACTGTTGTCAATTCATGCAATGAAGTGTTGCTTATGAAGGAGGTGGATTTGTTTGAAGTTTCTCTTGAAGGAGCATCATTATATTATGAATTGACAGCTTCCAACGAGCACAGCCCTGACTCAACACTCATAACAGCCTAACCATAAAATTCCTTATGATACACTCACTGTATGCAGGCACCAGCTTCTACAGTGTTATACGTTTCCTGAATGTCTCAAGTACAAAGAACTGCCAACAGATTCACAATGGCTAGTGATTGCTACTATAACAGCTGATTTATAAAAGGGGATTTTGCTAATGGATGCAATTCTGATCAAGTTTCAAATGTGAAATCCAGACCATGGCCATTGCCTCCCTGTACAAAGTTTTGTCTGCTATTAAACTTGGTTCATCTGGTGTTTGCTAACCAAAAGAACATATGCACCAAGTATAGAGACATGCTTCATTTCTTATATGTTTACAAATGAAAAACACAAAACAGATAGTAAGATGTAAAGGCCAAAAATCCTGTTAACATTGGATGCTGGTTCAATGTGAGTCATTAGATGTTTTAGGCATTATAAGACAGTGTATATGTTGGACAGTTCTCCAGACACTCAGTTCCTGCATAAAGTAATAGATGAAAGAAAGGCCTTTCTCCATACTTAAAGGGCTGTAAAGGTACCATGTGAAACAATATTCTGAATGTTAGTAGGTCTGAGCAAATTTCTCTCATGCGGCCTGCAAATTTCTCCCTCAGCCATTTTCAGGTTTCCACTTCAGGTGACATTATTGACTCATACTATCACCTCCATCCTTTCTACAAAAAAAAGTCTGCTATTTCAGAATCATCTGAAGAAATGGGAGCATATGGAGCGCTGTGAGATTGGCCATTAAGACTACTGTTGGAGAATAAAATCATAAGGCCTCAAAATGCATAACTGTTTGCTGTCGGAGCCTCTCAATTTGTCTCATCGTAAGGTGCCAATGTTAATTGCATTGACCACTGCCAGCTTCCTCAGGTGCCCAATAATGGCATAGCAAAAAAATAATGTGAGCAAGGAAGGTTGAGAACATCTTGCCTGACTGAACTTCCATCCTAGCTTTTTTATGCATATGCAAACAGGAAATCCTTGCTGTGGGAAATGCTCTGGAATTCCTAGGTCTACGCAAATGGACTGGAGCTTATTTGTTAAAGACATTTCTTATTCTTCCAATTGGAAAATAGGCATTGCCTTGTGGTGATACTGTGATTGTAATGTTTATAGCAGGGATTATAATTCTTTTAAAGTATATTCATCTACTATTGTCTGATTAAAGCAATATGCTGGAGCCATTATTTCAAATGAACATATCTCAATGAAGCACCACAACTTTGGTGGAAAATTCAGTAACTCAACATCAAGATTTTCTTGAGAGGATTAGAATAAAGCTGCTCTGGTGGTCTGTTATGGAGATCAGTTTTAGATCAATATTCTTCATCCCTCGACCTTCACTGGGATGAAGTCTAAAATCACCCTGCCCATTTCCTCCTTGAGCTCATCTTTTGTAGGCCCTCAACTTGTGAATTTCTTTACGTCCCTCAGTCTTCTTTCCATTTTTCTTGCACCTGTAGGCATTTACAACAATTCGTTGCCACTGCCTGCTATCTGTTGATTTACCTCAGTTTTTTTTTAAATGTTTCTTTATCTTTGGCAGTATCCTACCTTAGGCCTTCACTTCAGTTCCCTAAATAAAAAACAACCTTATAAGTTTGAGCATGAACCAATTAATTAAATCACACTTCCAACATTTGCAGTTTATTGGTGCAAATAAAGAATTTATGCTGTGCAGCTGTGCTTTTATTGGGCTTAAAGCTTTGATCTTTGGGAGTTGAAAAATGCTGCCCCTGCCCCTTTACATTGAAGTCTAATATGTTGCAGCGAGTTGCACATGTGTGCAAGGTCACCTGCTCTCAGTCAATGACTGTTCAATTAATTGTGCTGGCAGAAATGTGATAGTGGTTTTGCAAACTTCAAAAAGCACTGCGAATATTAGAAACACCAAAATCTAGCTCCAAGTAAGGCATACCTTTCTGGAAACAATATTTCTATCATTTTCAAATATCACGTATATTTTGAGTTTTGTTCTCCTAAAATCCCCACTTCCACACAATAAATAAAAACAAAAGACCAAGTAGCTATTGTATATCAACTGATATGTATTTACTAATTGAGACAAGATTGTGATAGAGCAGTTCCATAAATGTAACTGGAATGTATATGTAGGTATTATTCTTTCAACTTAAGTAATTCAAGTCAAATATCTTTTAAGAGACTGGTGTCTGTTGTAGTTTTGACTTTAACTTCTATTCATTGACACTGAAATATAAATGTAGCAGGATTTTAGCATCCATAATTTAATGCAATATAAATGAAACACATATAGCTGGAAACTGAGCCTGTTTTTAATAAAAAAAATGTTTGTCTGCATTTGTTTTGCATCTTTCCTCTTAAAATTAGTCAGAGCCAACATGCCACCTTTACCTATTTTTGCTGTCAGGCTTGCTTTGAGGATATGAGAAAGGTTGTTGTGGGCAAAGCTGGCTTCAATTTTTCTCTCATAGAAAAATGGTGGTTCAGTGGTAGCACTGCTGCCTCACAGCACCAGGGACCCGGGTTCAATTTCAGCCTCGGGCTACTGTCTGTGTGGAGTTTGCACATTCTCCCCGTGCCTGTGTGGGTTTTCTCCGGGTGCTCTGGTTTCCTCCCACAGTCCAAAGATGTGCAGGCTGGGTGGATTGGTCATGCTAAATTGCCCATAGTGTTCAGGGATGTGTAGATTAGGTGGGTTATAGGGGGATGAGTCTGGGTGGGATACTCTGAGGTTTGGTGTGTACTTGTTGGGCTGAAGGGCCTGTTTCCACACTGTACGGATTCTATTCTAACAGAAGCAGGAGGAGGCTTTTTAGATCATGGGCTGGTCTGTGGCTTCAAGTGTAGCTTGATGAACTATTCATACATCTCTTGATACCAATTCAAAAGTATCAAACTCAGTTTTGAGTAGGTTCAACAACTGGATCTCCACAACCCCCTGTTGTAAAGCATCTCAAAAATGTACAAACCCACTGAGTGAAGAGGTTTCTCCTCATCTTGGTTGTAAATGTTCCCATAGTGAGTAGATTCCGATAATAGCGTAGTTAATTGCAATCATCCATGGTCAGACTATCACAAGTCAAGACTCCTTCAAG